CAGTCCACAATACGAAAGCTAATCAGTTGCAATCGTAGAGATGGACCAGCCGAGGGCGTTTCTCGTTCGCTATAGCATAGGGGGTACGCGCGGTAACACGCGTATCGGACCCGCACGCGACCCGACATCCTGAGGGGGCTGAAGTCCCAAGCGCGGTCCGACGTCGGTCGACTAGGACGCATCCCACACACCACGCGCACACCACTCTAACAACCACGAAAACAGAGCATACACACACGAGCGCACAAAACGATGCGACACGAACAACGCGACAACGCTCCTAGTCCCTCGGTAGCCATCCCATAACTTTCCAATGCGGAAATCGAATAGGCGTCGCACGCGAGACTTAGTATAAAAACGCGTGGGCGCAGGGCTAACTCATATCGACTTGTATAGCAAGCGTACGCACGCGGTCGCAATGATGACGTACTATGAAGTGCCCATAATCGTGCGGACCTCGTTGACTTCGAGGGTCGCATTCGACACTCAAGTGTGGGCTGACACACGCCTTGAGGGTTAATCTCTCGACGCTAGACAACCGCCATGCGCGGTTGAGGATTACACACCCTCTTCTGCACCTTATGCAGAGTGGGTGGTACACATCTCCATACCTGTGGTGGTAGCAGCTCTCTCGCGGCCCTAGGGGTAGGTCCTCCCCGGACCTGGGCGAAAGTCAAGGGGTTTGACTTTGACGGCTGCCACGGACTACAACGTCCAACCATAAAAATCTCTAAAAAGCAAGGGATAAGGAAGAGGCCAACAGCTCCCCTGCCTAAGAAAAATCATAACCTCGGGGTACCCTCCCCCTTTCGCGAGGCGCCCGCGGCCTATAACAACCCCAAGCATTCACGCAAGCGTGCGATTCCCTTTGATCCCATAACCTTTAGACGTTGGGGCGGCGAGCGTCGCGTGCGAAGTTCTAATATAAAGTTGCGCGGTCGTAGGCCGGTCCTATACCAACCAATAATGCCAATCATACGTGGTAACCGTGGCCCCGACCTTGCGATATTGAATGGCTGAAGGAATATATCGCGAGGGGTCGCCCCTCACAATATTGAACGGTTGAATGACATGCCGTTCAGCCCTCGCGGCGCTTCCGCCCTCAGGGTTGGGTGTCCCGCGGATAGTGCAAATAGGCTCTGCGCGGGGGGAAGTCCCTCTCCTGCAGAGCCTAAGGCTTGGGATGTTCTGGACAAGGACATGGAATCCCGACCTAGGACCAACGTCCGACTAAGAAAACCCTCAAGGAGCAAACGGGAGAGAAGGAAGGGTCTTCCGCGTGCCTCTCAATCATAGCCCTTGGCGTACCCCCTTTGTACGGGACCCCTTAAGCCTCGCGAACACCCACCGTAAATACTCTCAAGCATACACACATAAGGGCGGTAAAGTTGCGATGATCACTCCTCACAGGCACAGTGAGACCCCTCACAACCATATATACATGTAGGATAGCAGGGCAGTCCAATCCAAACATCCAAGCCACTGAACATACCTGCAATCACATCAAAGAGCCAAACAAGCGTCCACACACTACACGGAGTCAACCCCAACCATTCTCTATGCTCATACCCCATCGCTTTAGCCATGCAAGCCCCAATTTTCAATCCAACCAACCTCAATTAAATACTCAGTACCTTCGTTAAATGGTCATTCAATAAAAGTCTGGGTAAAACCCTTAACAAACAATAAAATCTTCGGGGCTAAAGCCTTTTAGGTTGAGTATGGAGGATGAGTTGGAATTGAATCGTAAACCGACGAATCGGCAACCGACCTGTTATCAGTGATAACAGAGAGTGATCCTTGTAGGATCAAACTGACTCTAATCCTGATCTTGAATCAGACACCCCAAAGGACATGTAATACAAAGTAGATCAAATGCCCAAGCTAAATTATCAGCATATGAGGGATAAACCTCCATAGCACATTCTCATTCAAAGTTACCCGCCAACTAAGTCCAAGCCTGCCTCTAAGCCAGTGCCCGAAGCAAAGGTAGACTAATGGCAGAATCTCCCCTATTCAGGTTGGATTGCCAGAAGCGCCACGTATCAAAATATAACCTCACTCATCTAATTCAAGAAAATTTCGGAAGCGCTTCCCATAGGAAAGGTGTCTTTTCAGAATTTATACAAGTTCAAATATCAAAAGAAGGAGTAATCTATAACTCTGGAAAGTCAAATTTTGTTTAACTCCTTGAATTAGTAGAAATTTGGGCAGCATCCCCTTTCGAAATGGAGCCTTCACAGATTTTAACCAAGTCAAATTTGAACCCAACATCCAACCTTGAGTCCAACTTAGACAAAACTTGACCAACCCCATAGTTTTGCAAAAATTTTTGGCAGCACTCCCCCTAAAAAAGTGCTTTCCCAGAATTTATACAAAGCTAAGTTTAAAACTTGAGACTAACTCTGACTTCCCAAAGTCCAATTTTGTCTAACTCCCTGAATTAGCAAAAATTTGGGCAGCACTCCCTTTAGAAAAGGGGACTTTCCAATTTTTTACTAAGCCATATATAACGAAAAGACAAATTGAACTTTGACAAGTCAAAATTTGTCTATCTCCTTGAATCTGTAGAAATTTCGGCAGCGCTTCCCGTAGAGAAAGTGGTTTACCAAAATTTATACAAGTCGAAGTATAACAGTGAGTCTCAGAAAATGCAAGAATCGATCTAAGTAAGACAAAGTCAGCCGAGAAAAATGCTGGAATTGAACTAACCCCTATCGCTCTAGCACGTGGCGAGCTTCTAAAGCAACTACCTGTTAATCTGAAACCCTGACCAAGTAGTAATCTCACTCAGCCACATGCATGTCAACCCACCAAGGTAAGTACTCTCACCAACCCCAAACTCTTTAACAAGCAAAACTTCATGCTTCCTCTGTGAGTTACCTCTTTATACCCAACTTACATAGGGCATAGGTCAGGCCACCTGAACTTACAGAGCGCGCCCAACTTAGCCAGGCCTAAAGTCAGAATACCTAAACTTATAGAGCGTTATGACTTGGCCAGGTATACACAAACAGAGGCCACAACTATTTCTCTCTTCTTTGGGCATATGACTGGACCACTCCATTCTCCCTGAACTATTTAAATAACCTAATTATATATATATCTCTGAGCTTAATCTTCAAAGGGGACATAAGGCTGAGCCGCTCAACTTAGAACACTGCTCAGCCTGCCCAAGTTTACCTTCAATTATATCTCTTAGTTATACCCTCTTCAATTATGACAAGCTATAGTCAGGCTACCTAAACTTATAGAGCGGCCTGACTAGCCTGTTCTTAATAATATAGTAATACAATATAGCCAATTTATATCCATTCGGTTCCAACATATGCGAGGCATTGGGTTAGACTACCTAAACTTATAGAGCGGTCTGACCCTCTGCCAAATTCGTTCCTCTCTGATTAAGTTTGTGCGAGGCAGTGGGACAGGCTACCTAAACTTATAGAGCGGCCTGCCCCCTGCCAGAGTTATCCCCTCAGAATAAAACAGGAGAAGGACTGAACCACCTAAACTTATAGAGCAGTTCATGTCTCCTCGTTCAGAAACAAGGAAATCGAAAGAATTCCCAAATAAACAAGGCAACCCAGGGTACCTAAACTTATAGAGTGCACTGAGCCCCTGAAAGTCAAATACAATCAACCCTCACAAGTCAGAGCAGTCAGGTCACCTAAACTTATAGAGCGTCCTGACCCTCCATGCAATTTCATAGCACCAAATCTCCCCAAACTTATGGGGACATCCCAACCTCCAGAGCTTCAGGCCACCTAAACTTATAGAGCGGCCTGAGGCTCCATGCAACCCAAAAATAAACAAAGCACCGGGCTTCCCCGAACTTATGGGGACCTCCCTGCCTTAACGACCCCATCAATCGCCACACAACACAGCCTTCCTCCCAACCTTCCCCCAGATGCACCCTCCTTCGTTCACAATCTGCTTTCAAGCAGTCAAACAACGTCTGAAGCTGGAATTGCACATACATTCCTTTATTTCAGTCTAACTTATGTCCTGAAAGTCAAACCAACATCAAGATACAGGACCCACACCATACGCTCAGTCAAACATAGAAAGGTGTACATATAGGGGTTATAGTTGGGTTTACAGAAGGGGTCAGGGAATTACCACTCAATTCCCTGCCTCCAGGACTCCTCCTGAGTTTCGGCAGAGCT